CAGGACTTGTCTGAAAACATTATGAGCGTGTTAGTTGACAGCTAACTTGTGCTAAGTCCTGTAGAGAAGCAGTGTGTGTTATCATGGGTACAGTTGCATGGAAACCTATTCCAACGTGATTTGGATCAGACCTACCTCATGCCTTGCCTCCTTGGAGGTACTTAAGCTAATAATATGTAGCTGTCTGCACCTGTTTATGTAGCACTGCAGGCATTTAGTCCTGCTACAATGGAATGCCCCCTTGGAAATTCTTTGGCTTTGAAGGGTTGCAAAGTTTACTTTGCAGTAGAATAGCTACAGTTTGTTTTGAGCTGCAATAAGTTTTTTTCCTTAGAATGTGTAGATTACTTAAGGTATACTTGGTAGAACTTTCCTTATTATGTCCTACGTTTTTCTAGTAATGTTTTTATTATGCTCGAATACATTTTCTTATTTTACTGTGTAACACCTTTAGAAGCCACTTCTGTAGGGTAGGCAGTTGCAAAAGCTGTCATACCTGAATTATAGTATGTTGCCTTTTAAAAGCACATTTGCCATTATAATGTATTCAGTACATGTGAAATTGCAATAGCTGCAACAAGTCTGGTTGCAATAGATGAGAAGGCTGTCTAGCAATGACTTGGGTGTATCTGAAGGTTTATAGGAAATCTGAAGGGTTATAGAACTGAAGTTGTAACTTTTGCAGGTTTCCCTTTGAATCAAGGAATAAAACTGAAGGAAATAACACTACTTGAGGAATAGAGTAATACTTAGGCAGGAAATATTATGAATTACTCTTAAAATAAACTTGTCAGTTAGAGGGTCTATTTTATGTTGATGAAACTGAAAATCATGAACTTCAGCCTTCACCCAGAACAAAATATAAACAGCGTATGAATGCTTCCTGCTGCAGTTAGTGAGTGTGGTTAATTTTACTTTTCTGCTGGCATTTGCAAAAATATGCAATTTCTCATTTGCTCTTCAAGGAATGTCTCTTACAGCTTCCATATTTTAACTTAAGTTTGTAAGCACTCTCTCTGATACCAGTCAAACTTGTATTGGATTTTGGGGTGTCTTTTTACCTCTTTTACAATGGTCAGATTTTTTTTTTTTTTGGTGGTTCTTGCTTCAGGTTGATCTTTGTTTATGAGTTGACTGGATTTTGGTGAAAGTTACAGTACTAGAGGCTTTCTGAAGAGGAAGGAAGATGGCATGTGCCTGACTCTGGAACTTCTCCAGGGCTCCACAAGTCCTGTCCCCTCCAGGCAGGCAGAAGTTTCCTCTCTAGCTATTACACTGCCAAACCTTGGACTTTAGGATGTTGATCTTTGTAGAGGTATGGTTGTTATGGAGTTTTGGGATCAAGACTCCATTTCAAGTCTAGGTGTGGTGTTTTTTTTACTGTCTACTTGTTTTTGAAGTAACTACAAAATCATTGACAAATGATTTTTTTTTTGTTTCTCACAGAGTTTTTAGGTAGCTTATCTATTGCTTTCTTGGTTTCAACTTTGTAGTCTTAAAAGGACTTCTCCTTCCTGAGTAATTATGTTGGCTAAGATAATCCCTAGATGTGTTTTTGTTAGAGCTTATTCTTTTAACCTCCCTATTTAGAGTTATTTTTCTAACCTTTTCTTTGTATACTTAATGACCAGGGCAACAGAAGAGAGATTAGCTGCCATGACAAGGAACAGAAAAATCCTCTTTTTACTAGAGTTGTTCTGTTTTTGTCTTTCTTCAATTTAGGACACGGTTCTTTTTCATGAAGAAGCACTTCCATATTAGGCCAGTTTAAAAACAAAGATCCTTTTAACTAAAGAAAGACATTTGATGTTGTTATATACCTCCTCTTTAGTAAATGCATTCATTCTTGGAAACACAATGACCTCTTTCTAGCTATGTGTACTCTTAACTTTAGTGCTGGGACCATGTGGTGCCAGAGAACTTTGTTGAGGAAGCCATCGTGATTATTTTCACAGATCTGGGGGCAGCGTGGGTAGGACAGAACAGAAGAGGGGCTTTTCACTTGGAAGAAGTTCTCATGGGTGTAGAACTGTAGAACCTCTCCCCCTGAGCAATAACTCTACTGGTTACTGACTGCAAGCTGCTCACAAGTCGTGAGTGCTGACAGTCCCTTTTTAAAGAAGGACGTTAGTCAAATCCGTCTGTCCGTGTAAACGAGGTCCACTATCGCCCTCTCCTCCCGGGAAATGCCGTGTTGCGGGCTTGGATCCGTGCTTCCCGTGCCGCTGTGGGCGCGGGAACGCGGGGGCTGCTGCGCCCTCTGCGGGCGGCTCCGGGCCCCTCACGCTGCTGCCGGCGCTGCTCGTCCGGGTGCCGAGGCAGCCGGTGTCCGTCCCGTGTTTAAATCGCAGTGCTCTCTTAGAGTTCCTTGTAGTGCTTAGTTTGGGGTGAGATGTAACACCTCGAAGCTTTTCTGTTTGTCATTTGGCATCTTCCTTCTCTCCTTTACTTCTGACCACGTATGTGGCATTGTTAACAGCAATTCAGATTTTCCTTGACAGCACCTCCAACTACGCAAGTGTTCTCATCCTTCAGTATTTTACAGCCTTTGCTGACAACTAGCAGTAAAGATAGGAGCAAGTTTGTACAAACAAAACTGATCTGAGTTTGAAGATCTGAGAAGATGCAAAATGGGCTTAAGCCTGTACATGCAACATATGTACAGGTATGCGTTCTGTTCCTCTTCAGAAACGCCATCACCCTACAACAACAATTTGTTTTTAAAACAAATGTCCATACCTGACATTTGGAGTCACCAAGGACAGTCTTATCATCAGTCACTAAAAAGCTGAAGAGTGTTACCATTTACCTTAACCCTCGCATGAAGAGAGACAATCTTTACAGGGAGGGGCATAGAATATATTTTTTTGCTGAATTTTTAGTATATTTTTTCCAAGTTCACAAAAGATATGCTGGGGATGTCAGCTGATAATAGGTACTTGCAGTCTGGAGGGAAAAGGTGAGGTGGGCAAACATCAATTCTTTCCTGATGTTCCAGATGTAAGACTACTTTAATCTGGAAAGGCTTACAGACATAAGTGGATAAGAATATTATTTTGCTTGTTTTCTTACTGTTTAGTTCCTGCTTTTCAGTTTACCCTTTAATAAACATGGTATGGGAATGAATAAGATAATCCATCTTTGGTTGAACATTGAATGATATTTTTAGAATTTTCCAACTTCATGGTAGTAACGCCGATGTGGGAAGGTTTCAGAGTTCCTGCTTGGACTATGGAATATGCAGCAGATATTTCTACATTTGCATACATTTACAGCATACAGTTCTGTGTTTATTAAACATTTTTACTGCTGCTGATCCGTAATGTTTCAGAAGTTCTGTAATAGCCCTTGCCCAACAGGCTGCTCTTTTCAGTTCTCATATGTTTCGTAAATTTCTCCCATATTTCTCATGGATGTGCATGTTTGTGCATATATATTTTTTTGTATCTGAATTTATGCCATTCACATGGGGAAGAGGAGTTGAAAATGCAATTTTCCCTTACTAAAAAGCTTGCGTATTTCTGCTCTCATACTCTATATCTTGTTATAAAGAGTTAATGTTATGCTTTAGCATTGGCTACTTTTCAGTCTCTCCTGCAGGAAGCTCTGCACATAAATTATTACTTGGACTAAATTTTAAGGATTGGGCTCTTCTGCAATGCATCACTAACTTGGCCTTCTTCCTCCCTTCTGCTTGAAGTGGTGATGACATATGACCAGCCACATAGAAAAGCTGGTTTTTACTTAACTGTTATGTCTATCTGTAGCTGGTTTTGTTTGAGCAACTTCATCCTTCAGGAACTGAAGAAAACAAGCTCTCTACTGTGGAAGATTACTTAGTTTTCTGGTACTGTTTGTACCAAATGTAAGTTATCTGATACGAATACTAAGGTCTTCACCCATGGAGACTGCTCATACTGTGATTTTAGGGACTGATACCAATACAGGGTTTCCACTATTAGTGGGAGGTTTTTTGCCAACCACTATTCCAACTTTTCTAGACCTGTATGAAATAAAAATAGAATGGGTTTTACAGTTCCATGGGGGGTTTTTGTGCATGTATTTGGAGAACCTGTTTGTAGTGACTTGTGAAACACTAGTACAACACTGCTGTCATAAAATCATAGAATGCTTTGGGTTGGAAGGGACCTTAAAGATCATTTAGTCTCAATCTCCGTGTTGTAGGCAGGGACACCTTCCAGTAGATCAGATTGTTCAAAGCCCCATTCAACCTGGCCTCAAATACTTCCAGGGATGGGACATTCACAGCTTCACTGGGAAACCTGTTCCAGTGCCTCACCACCCATTATGTTTGGCGTGATTGCATGAACTTCTTATATCATGTTTACTAAAAGGCTTCCTGTTAATTACTGAGAATGAAGCAGCTTTATATAATGCATCTGTACTTGGAGTGTAACCACTGAGGAATGATTAATGAGAAGAAAATTGGCCCTCTGATGGATTCTGTTGTTTGATTTGATGAAATAAAGTCAAATTTTTGTTGTCTAATTAAAAGACTTTACTAATACTTAGTCAACAGTTTACTTTCATCCTCAAGCAGTTGCATTTAAGTGGTGTAGCAGGATTCAAGGATTACTCATCCATAAAGGACTGATGCACTTTCAAATCTTACATGGTCTTATTTTCAAGTAGACAAAGTTGGTTAAATGTCTTCAGAGTACAGAAGTATGCAGTATGACTTGTGTGGTGCATTCTTGTAATCACTGTAAATCTAAGGCATACTAAAAATGTTGTTAAATCTAGTATACTAGCAACTTGAACCTTCAGTTTTTCTAGGATATAATCATGGTGAAAAACGAATCTTATAAGAGATTTCTGATAATGTGCTTTCTGAGTCTTTTTAGAGAACTTAGATGAATTCTGTGTTGCTCACATGGGGAAGAGATAGCAAAGAACTCTTGTCTACCTGATTTCCTTCTAGTTTCTGTTCAGAAATTGTTATTTTGGCATTTAAGATGACGTTTTTCCTTTTTCTTCAGTTTCTAAGGGAAGATATGCAGTACAAGGATGCCTCTAATAAACATAGTCACCTGCACAGAGAAGACAAACATATCACCATTGAGGATCTGTGGAAACGCTGGAAGACATCTGAAGGTAGGTAAAGAAGTATAGCTAAAAATGATGATGGTTACTGACAGAGACATAAGTCAAGAATTTTTCCACCAAGTATAGACTAGTAAATTAATGACTTGAAGCATCTTCATTAATCCATTTTGATACTTTTATTTATAGGCACATGTAAACCTGACTAAGAACTTATTTAGTACAGCTAGTGTTAATTTTCTCTGCGTGTCCTTGGTGCATTGTAAGTAAACTAACATAGCTTACACACTTATCTGTATAAGGTTCTAATTTATCAAGGTGACTGGTGCAAGTGCTGAATTCCAGATTAGCATATTTTTAATTTAATAAACCCTAAGGGTTGCTCTCAAGCTATTTTTAAATATTTATTGCATGTTGTATTGAGTTGAAAGTTCAGTGTACTTCTACTTCAATGTAAATTTTATTTAGGTTATGAAGAGCTAGAATTCTTAGTCCAAAGCATTTTTGAAAATCCTTTTAAACTTGAGGCACAGTAAAATGGACTGACAACACCTCTAGCCCTCCCTCATGCTGTTTTAAATGAAATAAGTTGAGCCAAATATTCCAAGTATCAAAAGACAGTATTTAATGTACAGTACAGTGTTCGTTGCCAAATATGTTCCAGGATATAGTGATTTAAAAAAAATTCCAGATATCTAGAATGTTAGAATTGTTAGGAGAAAAATACTTAACTTTTTTTTTCCCTCACACCATTCTGAAGGTGTTGTGCTGTCCTGGTTCTGGCCAGAACAGGGTTAATTTTTTGCAGCAGCTGGGAGGGTGTGTGGCTATGTTGTCCATATGCCCTAACATTGTTGCTGGGGGATGGGAAAGGAGCTCTGTCTCTCTTCTGGGGAGAAGGGGTTCCTTCTATGAGAAATGTGGGGGATGGACCCATATTTGTTTACTGTGGGGGGGCTTTCTGTGTAAATAGTTTCTTTTTCTTATACCTTTTGTTATTAATATTGTTGCTGTTACTGTTAGTTTTCTTATTTCATTGCCTCTTACAGTAAATTGTTCTTATCTCAACCTCTGGCTTTCCTTTTTGTGCCTTCAATTGGAGCTGTAGGGGAAACCAAGAACTATATATGGGAATACCATTCCTAAACTAGGACATGTGCTAATGGTGCACGTAGAGAGATCTAAAAGTTGGTATTGGTCAAACAACTAGAAGTAGGAACAAGAGAGGAATGGAGCTAGGAACCTGCCATTGTTCATTCTGCTTATGTAGGAAGTCATTTAAGTGCAGTCTGAAGTAAGAGGTGTTTGCTATGTTTTAACTAGTGATTTTTAACCTCATCTCTTCAGATATTCTGTAAAGACTTATTTGTTGAAATTCTTGTTCTATGAAAGTATTACAACTGAATTATCAGAAAAAATTATCTCCCCATAATTGTTGATTTAACTCATGAGTAACTCTTCAAAAATGTAGGCTATAATGATCCCAAAAGTATCTAATTTGTCTATTGCATATATCTTTATTTCATGTTTCTTGAATATAGTGAGTAGTGTGAGTAAGACTCAAAAGACTTTGAGAGGAATGTCATGTTTCATAGTGTCTGCATATAGTGGCTTTACTGGGCATGCTGTTGAGGGAGCTTAAGTTGCACCACAGGGAGACCTTTAGAATGAGACTCCTGAGCTGTGTTACCAGTGCTGTGCTGACTGTTAGAAAGCAGGAAGCCCCTCAGAAAATGAACTACCTTCATTTGATTTTAGGTGACATGGAAAATACTGTTTGTCCTTTCTAAATGTTTTAGGAATTTTGATTGATTTGTTTTCTTATGTGCTGCTGTTTTATAGTGCCAGTTTAATGCAATTTGACAACATTAAACAAGAGGAGGGAAGGTAGTGTAAATGACAGTATCAGTAATTTGAAACTTTTAAGTACTCTATTGAGACTGTGTGAGAATTACAAGCTCTAAACAGTGCTCTTGACAGTGTATGCAGAAGCATCTTATGGATCTATTGCTGCCTAGTTTATGCTGAGTAGAATTGCACATTCCTTGCCTTAAAGCTTACTTTATGTGAATGTTTGTCTTAAGTATTTGTCAAATACCTTAAAGGTGCTTTCTGTTTAAGATATTGGTGATGCAAGACAGATAAGATTTGAGGGAAGAAAGTGAAAACGTGCCATTGCTGTTTGGTGTCTCTTTTTAGCATTAAGGAAAACAGAGTTTCCTTTTAAGTAATTGCTTCAGAAGAATCTTATACAGTGAGTAGAACCCTGAGGATTGGCTCCATTCAAAGCTTTAAAAATTGCATAATAAAAGAAGGAGCTTCAGAATATTGCTTTTTAATATTCCTGACGCTGGGCAGGCTTTTGGTGTCCCTGCCTGGTGCAGAATCTTCAAGGCATAGTCTATGCTGGTGCAAATTAAAGGAATTTCAAGGCTGCTGTAGGTTTTACCTGCATGGAAGGAATCATATCATAACTTGAATCAGCATCCAGCATTTTGTTGCTGCGTTGCCACAGTTTAAATGAGTCCTTGAGTACAAAACAAGACTTTAATTTAATTTAGTTTAGTTTAGTTATGATATGCTTTTTGTGACCTTTGAAATTTTCTAATCTCCTAGTCTGATTCTACAGAGTGCTCTATTTAGAGGAGTGACTATGAACTAGCACACCTGTTTAAAACAGAAAACACTGCTCTCTGAGTCATCTGACTTACTGTGTGTTACTGCTCTTTAAATGTAAATGCCAGTATATGCTTGTTGTATTCTTTGACTGCCTTGTCTTCTAACTAAGCAGTACATGCACTACAGAGCCTTTCACTTTTCAAAAGTAATAAGCTTAGTAGCTACTGATAGGTTAAAATCAAAGGAGCATCTTCAGTTTTTTTTCTACAAGAGCCTTGAAGAGGTAGAGGTTTTGAGTGCAGACAAGGGGACAGATGAGCATTTGTTTTGATGTCTTAGTACCAGTCTCTGTACAACTGTCTTTGAAAGTTCTCTCACTCAAAGGTGCCTGCCCTCTCTTTTTGCCCCTGCGATGGGCCAGGATCATACGAATTTTCTGTCTGTGCAAGGTGGGTGGGTAGGTATTTAGACTCGGTAGCAAGAGAGACTGTAAAATCAGTGCAGGGCCTTCAGCTGGGTGGTTCTCTGACATATCTCTGAGTAGGCTATAGTGCTGCATTCTTGGTGATGTAGCAGTGTCCCTTGGGACTTGATTTTGTAATAAAGTAAATCTGTCATGATCAAACCTGGAGTTCATGAATGGCCAGCTATTGTCAGACTAATTTAAATCCTACCAAACCTACTTGTTACAAACTGCCTAAGAAAAAAGTAACTTTTTTTACCATTATGGCATATTTGAACTTTAATGTATAGTATGTCCTGCAGACTACCCTATAATACAAAAAACCTTCTCCCTTGCATTGTATTTGTACCTTTTTGTTTTCTTTAACTCTCTTTCCTTCTCTGTGAAAAACAGATGGTGAACTAAAGTCTGGTACCTTATTGATTAGGGTAAAAAGATTAAAAAATGGTTTTATGTTTGTATGTGTGATCATCTGTTGTATTCTAATTTACTGTTGCACAAGTATTGCAGCAACTGGGACTAAACTGTGTGCCACAAAGGTGTTATGGTTGCCTTGCACTTTAATCGTTTGGTTTCTCAGGTTTTAAATATCTGGAGGTTAGAAATGTATGCAAGCAGGGGTCGGCTAAGGATGAGTTACATAATACTGTGTACTGCTGATGTTACTGTTGAAGGTCCTAAAAACTAAGTTTTGAATGCTTTTGTATGCTTGATACAGAACAATCTTGTGGTCACCTGTTCTCAACTTTAAGCCTAATGTATGGCTGTCATTCACTCCTTGCCATGAAATACTCCTATAAAATGTAATTTGATTTCTGAAAGGAGTAGGAGGCCCATAAGAGTACTGAGACTGACACTGCAATGTTATTTTACTTCAAGCCTCCCTACCTGGAAGCATGTGCTATGTGATAAATGTTAAAAAATGATCTTCTAATCGGCCATTAATGTGGGTTAGCAAGGACCAACTTCCAGACAGAGCCAGTTTAAAGCTCCTTTGGCTGCCTTCATCTTCAGCATGTTGATAGGGCAGTTAAAAAAAAGTAGGAAAAAACCCAACCCAATAACTTGTGATCTGAAATAGAACAGCTGATGCAACTCTAGAGACTGAGTGCTGCTCTGAGGTGTAAACACTAGTGTAGCTTCTACACCTGCCTTCCCAAGGCATGTTCTTGGCATCCTCTCTCTCAAGATATCTGTTTGTGAAAAGAGGTGTGAGAAGGAAGGATGTTATAATTACTCTGTAATACTGTATGCATTTAACTTGGAGTAATTGTGACTTGCTACTCCACTGTCTGAAGCACTGTATTCTTTTTTGGTGACTAAATTAAGAATAAGTTACAACCCCACCTAATTAGTAGGAGTTGGCACATTATAACTGGCAGTGCTGATTAAGATGAGTTTCAACTGGCCTGCTTGCCCTTCAGTACACCTGGTGTATATCACACTTGCCTTGTATCGTGTTTCAGTGGGCTGGAACAGCTTCTATTGAAGAAAGGCCAGTTTGCTTTTTGGTACTGTATGCTGTTGTAGAATAAACAAATATGTGTTTCATAAGGTTTTATTTGAGATAAGTGAAGCAATACTTTTTACCAACATACAGCATATAGAAGATACCAACAAAAAGAAACTGAATGTTTTCACTGACAGAGTCGGAAAGGGAGAACAGAGTAGTTTAGTCTGAGTCAACCTGGAAAATTTGGGGATTTGCAGACACCTACAGTGAACTTCTGTGAATGAAGTATTAGTTTACATAATAAATCTAAATTTCTTGTAAAATACGTGCATGAGCAGAGATTCAGACTGTGAAATCTCAGAATAAGAGATGACTATGTATTGATAACTTAAATGATGAGTGGTCATTTAAAAGGACACAACATAATCAAAGAAGTAATTGATATTAATTTTTAGGTAAACAGGTAACAGTGTAAGAATACAGGAAGTACAAGTTCTGATTCTGTTTTTGGATAGACCTTAGTTGCTTCATTTTACAGTCTCTGTACTAATGGAATTATCTGATAGATAATGAATAATAAAGTTTTCCTGAATATAACTGATTTGTTTGGGAAAATATCCTTTATATTCTATGAAGACAACATCACACCAGTCTAGGCAGTAGAAAAGATATGATTGGCTCTATGGTAAACCACTTAAATATGTACCTAATTTCTTACAAAATAATATGTTCGAAATTACTACTTGTAAAAAACCTACAAATTTATGTAAAATTTGATGGAGTGTCTACAAAATACTTTCAGCAACAGAAGTGAAACGTCTCAATGGTATTTTTTTCCCTTCCCCAAGATTTATTAACTCAGCGAATTGTGTGGCTTCTGAAATTGCATGTTCTGTCCTGTCAGTGATAGTCTGTAGTGTGTAGTGGCTATTTTAGGTAGGGTTTTTTCACATGTCACATCAAAGCAATGCTTTTGCTTTGGATCAGTCTCTGAACGTATTTCTAGAATGCAGTTAAGATGATATTTTTCTGGATTATTTTACCACCCTTTTGAGACTTATAATGACCAGTCTTGAATGACTTTGAATGACATGTAAGTCTGATTGCTTATTATTCACAAAAGAGTTAAGAATCTTTGCAATGGGAACACAATCTGTTTACAAACAGAGCCCAGACATTTTGCATAAAATCTTAGAGTAATATGATAAAACTGTTTCAAATCAATACCTGATTGTGGCTCAGAAGGAGAGAAGGAAATGGGACAGTACGCTGGGATGGTTGTGTAGGCATTCATATGGATAGAAAACAAGTGGTTTGTACTGCAGGTTTGTTTCTTAAAGCTATAAGTGGGTCTGTGGAATGTGTTCTGTCTCTGGTTTTCTGGAACGATGAAAATCTAAAATGTTTGAGCTTATTTTTCAGCTATGCTAGTGTAGACAAGAGGTCTAGAAGTCCTTATTTCAGTTTCAGTGTGAAGTGAAATATGAATTTGAACTCACAAAAACTTCCGTTGCCTGCAGCTTTACCAGTCAAGCTTTTAGCAGCTCTTTTGAAAGGGTCATTGTCAAAATTCACCACTGAGAATGTGTCTTTATGATAAGGTTTCTACAGAAACCTCTGCCTAGCATTGTCACATGCAAGTAGTTCTAGGTAGAGAAATATTAAAAAAAAATTAAAATTTTTTTGTGTGAATTGTCTTAAAAAGGAGGCTGTCACAGTTTCTTTCATGTGTAGACAAACTTTTGCAGAGTCATAAATGGAGCGAACAATTTCCCTTCCATTTTGTCAGTGTGAAGCTTTAAGCTGTAGCAGGTGGCCTGTAATGACCACAATGTGATCTCCCCCCCTTTTTTAAAATCTCTGGGTAGGATTTTCTTAGAGCATTTGTAGGTATGAAAGTTTATATAGACTATTGATGTTACAGAGGAAAACTGTTAATTATTCTCTACATACTTAAATAATTATTCTTAGTGGAAGTATTTTTGCATTTAAACCTGCTTTTCTGGGCAGGTTTGAGAGAGGTTTAAATGTTTTCCTGTTATATTATTACTGTCTTTTGGTGTTTTCTTTCAGTCTCCTCTATTCATCTCTCATCGGCTCCCATTTTGTGGTTGGTAGGCATGAGCCTGTAAGAAAATTCTTGTGAAAACAAGTTCTTAAGCCACCATCCAGCGAAAGATCTTGGTGTGTTGCCTCAAATGAGTACATCACCAGCTGGTGTGTGTTTAGTTCTGCAAGGGTAGCAAGGACAAAGGGATTGAGGCTGAGATCAGTTTAAGTAGATCAAAGTCACAAGAGATCACAAATTGCTGTCCTGATTTAAACTAAAGCAAGAGACTAAATTATTCTGTGGAATTTTTAATAAAGAAATGTTTCTATTCGTTCCATGCTTGTTTTTTTTTTTATAGTTTGCCTAAGCTTTTACTGAGAAGCATATAATGAAAAAGGCAAAATGCCAGAAACACCTTAGTGCTAATTTTTCTGCAATTATATTTGACTAAACTCTCTTGGTCATTGTAGCCTACTTGTCTACTGCTTGTCTTCTATGTCTTGCTGTTAAATTTTACAAAAATGTAAGATAATTAAACTGAATTTTTCTTTCAGTTCATAACTGGACGCAAGAGGACACTCTTCAGTGGCTTTCAGAATTTGTTGAACTGCCACAATATGAAAAGAATTTCAGAGAGAGCAATGTCAATGGAACAACACTTCCTAGGTGAATGTTTATTTGGGATTAGTTTCAAATAATTCCTTGTAGGTTTCTCTTTTAGTCTGTGTGTGGGAACAACGATGTGAACCTAAAGTCTAACAAGATACGGTCAAATGCTAGAAAAGAAAAACATCCTTGCAGTTTTGAAGAAGTGGCTGCATTTTTTTTCCTGCCAAAATATTTTAAAATATGACTTTCATAAAAGTTTTGTTTCTTGCTGTGGAAGCTTTTATCAAAGGTCACATAACTCTGTGTGGTAGCAAACTTTCTTTTGAACATCTTCCAGTCTATTGTATGGGTATATGTAACAACCTATCTGTAGAACCCGTTTCCTGGAGTGTGACTACCACATCTGAGCATGTTGCATGTATTACAGAGTTGGTGTCACAAGTCTGCAAATATATCTTTACCTTTAACTTTGCAAAATGTATTTATTTCACGATTTTTCCAGAAAGAAAAGGTAAATGATTTTATGTTCCTTTTTACCACGTTGTGATATACTTTTTTTTCCAACCATACTGTCGTATTATATTTCTCACTCTTAATTGCTTATCTGTAATCTGTAGAACTATGAGAAATATTGTGGATGTCTTTTTTTTTCATAGACTGATTCTGAGTATAATTTATGGTATAGGTAATGTTTTGTCTTATCATTAACAGGATAGCAGTAAATGAACATGCTTTCATGATCTCTCACTTGAAAATAATTGACCGGAGCCATAGACAGAAGCTTCAGCTTAAAGCCTTGGATGTGGTTTTATTTGGACCTCTTACTCGTTAGTAACTTCTTGGAGTTTTTTCTAATCTCTTAATTATAAGAATTCAACAGACCATATTTTCAATGACACTTGATACTGTAGATAGCACAGCTTATCTATGTTGTGGATGTACTGATGGATTGCTTGGCAAGTGTTGTGGAAGTCTGCAGTGAATTAAAAAAGATTGTTGAGGTGCTGTGACCAGGACAAAGGTTCACTTCTGTATATAAGATCATGTAGATATTTTAGTATAACCCCACTTCCAAAATGAAGTTGGCTTTTGTGTCACAAGAAGTGTCCTCTAAATGTTTTTGACTGTTTAAATTACAGTTACAGCTAGTGTTACATTCACTTCCCGGTTAGCTTGGACAGTGCAGCTGGGATGCTGAAATGAGAGGGTATGACCTTCCCCAAAAAGAAAAAAGGAGAGGGTGGTGCAAATCCAATAACTGCATCTTTTGTGCAGAGTTGAATTTAAGTGTGGTTTAACTCAGTGAAGCAGTTCCCCATCTGACCTCTTTTTACCATATGCAGACATGACTATACCACATCACCAATGCTCTGCATTCTTGCTTGTACACAGCTACAGATTTGTTGTGGTGCTGTGCATGGCCGGTGTTCCTGAATCAGTCAGGCCAGATCTGATCTGGGGATTTTTAGGGGGGGAAAAAAAGCACTTTGTATTTGTATTATACCTTTAATGCTAGCAGAAAGTCTTACAAAAGTTCAAATGACTAAAATTATACTAACAAAGATGTGCACGTGAATCTTGGATATGATAATTTGACCATCCAAGTTTTGCTTTTAAGAAGGGCTGCTGTTAGCCACTCACCATTTTAAAATGTACTTTATTTTTTCCAAGTGCATTTTTAACCCAGCATAGGGTATTCCAGAGGGTGCAAACTGGGGAAAATTTGCTCAAACATAATTAAAGCTCTTACTGGCCTGATAAAGTGTAATTGGGGAACTCTATTTAAATAAGTAAAAATAAAGATACAGAGTATGTACTGTAAAGGTTTGATAAGCTTTTCTCAATCTAATGAATGTTTTAGTGTAGATTAAGTAAATTGTGTTAGAGCAGAGCTGCTTATGTTGTATGGAAAATGCTCTGTTGTTTGTATCAGTGAACGAGTTAATGATGGTGTTATTCTCTGCACAGGTCCCCCTCACAACTGGATGAAGGATTTTATATTAACAGTTTCTATAGTTATTGGTTTTGGAGGCTGCTGGTTTGCATATGCTCAGAACAGAACCTCAAGAGAACATATCACGAAAATGATGAAGGACTTAGAAAGTCTTCAAACAGCAGAGCAAAGTCTTCTTGACTTGCAGGAAAGGTATAAAACCTAAAAATAAAAAAAGTTAATGTCTAATTGTCCTTTTGTTTTGAGGTTAAATACAAACATAGGTTCTTTACTGTCATAAATTATTTGCATTAAGATACCTTTGGATTTTGTTCATCTTCCCTTTGCATGGAAATTGTGATTTCATTGATATTGGTTTTGTGGGTAGAAATTGCACCTGGATATTTTCGCAGGCAGTACGAACTTGTGGATGAAGGTAAAGAATAGAGGTTGTCTTTTTTACCTACGGATTTACAAGTATGTATTGTTATTTTCATATAATTACAGTTTACTTTGGAATATTTACCTACAGGGGAATGAGAACATTTCTCCTGTTTTTAAGCTCTTAAGGTTGAAACAAACCAGGACTGATTACTTTGTACGGCTTATATAGCAGTGTGAGAATTGAAAGTCTTCTCCAGTGCACCTGTAACTCAATTGTATATAGAGTCTTGTATTTTGATATTACAACTTTAATGATGGTTCACTTAAAAGCTTGTGTATTTTGCCTGATGGGGATATCACATTATGTGATGCAGTTGCTGCTGATTCATGAAGGTTGCAGAGTCTTTATTATCACAGAGAGGTTGAGGTTGGAAGAGACTTCTGGAATTCATCTTGTCCGGCACTTCCTGCTCAAGCAGGATCATCTGGAACAGGTTGCCTAGGACCATGTCCAGGTGGCTTCTGAATATGTCCAAGGATGGAGACTCTACCACCTCTCTGGGCAACTTGTGCCAGTGCTCAGTCACTCTCATGGTGAAAGTGTTTCCTGATGTTCAGATGGAACCTCATGCTTTGGTTTGTGCCATTGCCTCTTGCCCTGTTGCTGGATGCATTTTCTTCTTCTGAGAACTACAACTTTTAACAAATATGCTGTGTATTTTCTTATATTTTTTGTTCAATTTTGAAGGCTTGAGAAGGCACAAGAAGAGAACAGAAATGTTGCTGTGGAAAAGCAAAATCTGGAGCGCAAAATGATGGATGAGATCAATGATGCAAAACGGGAAGCTCATCGCCTAAGGGAATTAAGGGAGGGAGCTGAATGTGAACTCAGCAGGCTCAAATATGCAGAGGAAGAATTAGTACAGGTATCTGCAAACTGTTTATAACTTTAGTGTTGACTTTGAACTGGTTGTAGTTTTATTAGATCCTGAGGAGTTTTTAAAGCAGCATTCTTCAAATGCTAGGTTTTAATGGAAAAATTCTAAGCGTGCTTAATGACTGTCTTTCAATCATACTAGATAAAAGTATGATTTTATCTAGTAAAATAATCCTGAAACTATAAAAAGATGTAAACTTTGTATATTAGCTTATCGTAACGTTTTTGGATTCACTGAACAAAAATATATACAAAAGCTTTTTTATCTTGTTATCAGAAGAGAGAAGATAGTAGCTTTGTCTCCTCTGAAAGCAATAAATTTGGATTTATTGTACTAAAAAAATACTGTCTTACAAAGAAATTTAAGCTTCAAATTAGGAACCATATATCAAAAGAAAAAAAAATCTGAGTATAGTACAGTATATGGAAGGTCTTATGCCAGATTTCAGAAATGCCAGATCTGCCTTCCTGGTATAAGGGTGCTTATACTTCACTTTCTTCTGCTGTCAGTTCTAATGATACTCTTGGTGACTCTCTTATTTCTTATTGATTGCTAGGTTCGCATGGCTTTAAAAAAGGCTGAGAAGGAGTTTGAGTTGAGAAGTAATTGGTCTGTTCCTGAAGCTTTGCAGAAGTGGCTTCAGTTAACACATGAAGTTGAAGTACAATATTACAACATCAAAAGACAGCATGCAGAAATGCAATTAGCAATTGCCAAAGATGAGGTAATAACTTATTCTTCAGCTACTTAAAGACTTTTCTGATCTGTTGCTAGATACATGAAATAGTAAACACAAAGCAGATAAGCATTTGGGTGGTTTTTTCTTCTCTGAATTGTTTGCTACCTCTCAATGTTGCTAATGTTTTATCATCTGTTATGGATATTACTCCTAGTTTTATGCATTTCATTTTATCTTGCCTTTTAGGCAGAAAAGATAAAAAAGAAGAGAAGCACCGTGTTTGGAACATTACACGTTGCACACAGCTCCTCCCTGGATGAAGTGGACCATAAAATTCTTGAAGCAAAGTAAGAGGATTACCAGGACAGGTTGCATAGTCTTTTGTACTTACTTATTCCTGAAACAATGGTATTTTTGAGAGTTACAGAATTGAGTGTCATAGTGATTTTGCATTTTAAGAAAAGCAGTTTAAAATATGTTAAAATGTGAATATTTGAACTGTCCTAATGGATCTTCTGGTATGCTGGAATGAATGCACTCGTGTTGCTTTGCTTTATCATTAAGAACAGCGTGTGTAATTTTAATGTGTGCTTTTCTTCAGGAAAGCACTCTCTGAGTTGACAACGTGTTTGCGAGAGCGTCTTTATCGATGGCAACAGATTGAGAAGATTTGCGGGTTTCAAATCGCACACAATTCTGGGCTACCAAGCTTGACCTCCTCTCTCTACTCTGATCACAGCTGGGTAGTTATGCCTCGAGTCTCCATTCCTCCTTACCCAATTGCAGGGGGAGTTGATGACTTAGATGAAGATACTCCTCCAATAGTTTCACAGTTTCATGGTAAGTGGTGAGCTCAGTAAAAAGAAGGGGAAAAGTTGAGGGGACATATGAGTTCCCAGTTAGGTAGGAGGATTTGTAATGAATAATGCTGAATTTCTATTTGCACATTTATTCTTTCAGATGGAAGAGATAGTGTTAATCTAGAGTCCTTTGAGCTATTTGGAAGATCACACCCTTTGAGAGGCCGCATGCTACATAGATTTGCAAACGTTCTTTAGTGGTTGGAGCAAAATCCTGTTGACAAGGAATGCTTTCAGGCAGAATGTTTGTGTTTGGATACAGTGGGTTGTTTGAGTGCAAGGCAAAGAAGCCAAGTGCTGGAGGGAGGGCAATTCAGCTTTGGTTAAACTATAATCAGAAGATATACACTGGGGATTCAGACCACCCTGGTATCATGAGTCATTGTGTCAGTACAAGAGCCTGTTTTGTGGAAGCTTTGATTAACTGGACTCTAGAGGAAAATCAAAAGGATGAGCTCCCATGTAGCTATTCAAACAACCAATATCAAGCTGAGGAATAAGTAGGGAAAAAAACTATCATATGAGTATATTTTTCTTCCAGGGCTGGGATTCTCAGAAGTAGTACAAACTGTATTTTAAAATAGCTTAAGATCACCACTTGGCTGGCTTCATTTAGCGTGCCTTGGGCACATGTTTTTCTTCTAAGTGTACCAACCTGTTTTCTACAAACCACATTGAAAAGTTCATTGATCCCTTTGCAACACTACTTACTACAAGTTCTGATCACTTTTAAGGCATGCTGTTTCTCTAGTTGTCTTCACTGTGAAGGCTTTGATTTAAACCCTAGCAACAAATTTATTGGGTGGCCCAATACAAAATGGATGCCTAAACTTCTAATTCAATATAGAGAAACCTCTGGTCTGATTTCAAAATGAAGAGATCCATTTATTATCACGATTTTCCAGATAGTCTAAAATGACAACACTTGGATATGTATACAAGACATCAGACTTGTGGGTTTTTTTTGGTCGCTCTTCTTGTTCAGCTCTTGCTTAGAAGTGAAGCCAGAGAAGAGAGTGCAGTTGGTTCAGAGCAACTACAATTAGAAAAGTACTGTAGTTTGTACGAGCATACTTAGCTGAAACTTTACTTTGTGCTTTTTCAATTATGGTTTAATTTCTGTGTATTAAAGTTCAGTTCATTTGGAAGTGTTTCTGTCTCAGTGATGAAAGTTATCTGAATCTTAATAACACTACAAAAAGTTTAATTTTAGTAAGGCCCAAGAGCCTGATGTTGTTAAAATGATCACATGAAGGAAGTAGTTTATCCTTAATTTACTAGCTTTTAAAATTTCTACTCAGTAAAAAAAACCTGTAAACATTTGGGAGTGGGGAAGGAGATGGAAAATATGCTAAGTGATCTGTTGTTGAAACTAATTTAGGAGTCAAATTATTGTAGGTTAGTTTGGTAACTGCTGAATTACTCCCATCCTTCAGAGAAAAATAACAAATGCATGCAAGGAAGGACAGAAGCAAAATGGCTTGTCATGCTCATGAGGCTTCAGGGAAAATGCAGCATGCAGAAGGTCAGTTAAGAGTGAGACTATTACAGTCTCTGGATCTGAACTGAACCAGACTGTTACCTTGCCCTCGCCCTTTGATCTCATAAGATTGACAAAATTTGAAGTCTGTCAGACAGGCTTCTTTGTGGCAGAGCAGTTGGGTTCATAGGCTGAAATGGTGTCAAGTAATAGAGTGGTTTGATCAATCTCAAGCTGAAGAACAAAAGGCGATAAGAAATAGGTGTACGACACTGGAACAAAGACCTTACAGGAGGGTGATAGTGAAACTTCTACTCTTCCATGGGCTGATCAGGATTCAGCTGGTTCCTGGATTTAGTGACTTTCATTTGCACTAGAAAATTCTATATGTTAAATTGTCATAGCTGAACCCTTCATATTCCTGGGTATATACACCTACAAGGAATTAAAATGCTTGTAACTTCTCTCAAAATTCACTGATGGTGCAATCTTGGGGATTTTTTTTATACCAGTGAGTAGGATGGCATCTGATTTACCTGGACATGTAGCACGAATTTACTAAGGGGATTCTTATTCCCGTCTCAGTTCACATTTGCTCTTTTAGGAGTACTTTTAAAATGACACAAGATGATTTCTGAGCTCCCAGCACCTGCTTTTAGGGTCAGTAGGGAGTTCATCAAAAGTAAAATGAAAAGTTTGAGATACATGACAACTCTCATGTTGGTGCTTATAAATCTTTCATTTCTGCTCAGGAATGGAAATGAATTTATGTGCTGGCAAAGGTGCAGTTACTCAGTATTTTCTAAAAGTTGTGATTTCCTGTACTGAAACGGACTGACAACCTTTTCTGAGATTCTAGGAAGCGAATCTATAACTTACCTGATGCTAAACTAGTATTGCGAAAAATAAAATATGTTTTTTCAGGCTAGACAGAAATAGTTGAATTTTTTTATCGTGTTATGTTTGTTAAACATTTTGAACATCAGTAAGGGGCTGATGTGTCTAATGTAAGCAGTGATGCATTCATTCTATGGGACAGTTTGAGGAGAGGTATGAAAAATCCTGACTCATAACAGCTAACCTGAAAACAGGTCTGCAGCTTTATTTCTGTACTAGTATTGCTACCTAATAACCTTTTGAAGGAGGAATTGGATTAGGAAAATTTTAGTTTGTCACTTCCTGTTGAGACTTTCCTGGTCAAGTCTTGTGTTGCTGTTTCCTCCATACTTATATTTTTGTTTCTGGAAATTCATAGTTAGCCTGGCAAAAGAAAGTGTTATCTGAAAGGAAATTCTTGAGCTTAAAAAGAGGTTGAATTATATATTTTCTATCCTGTTACATAAATGAAATTGGTCTTCCATGTCTAACCTACTTTTCAACTAATGCAGTGTATTTCAGTTGGCTGTTTGGTTAGGCATACCTTCATTGCAAAACTTTTCCATATTTTTTTTAAATTCCAAATCACCACACAAGTAAAATCCAGGACATTGTGTAGCATACTAATTTCAGCCCTGCTATTTTTAGTGTATAAGGGGTTGTGGGTTTCAGTAAAATCTTTCTATTTTTTTTTTTTTTCCTCAAGAGAGCATAGTGAGCCAGAGCTTTGGTGTGTGGTTAGTGTAGTATTTGGCTGTCACAAAATCTCTGCAGTTGCATCTTGATTAACTGCTGCATGTAACTGTAGAATGTATAAGGTGTTCAGTGTTTCTTGCTCTGGAACAGTCAAACAATGTCAAAGTTGTTTAAAAATCACTGTCACTGAAGCAGATACCTGCTATTTAGGCTTCAGAGTAGATATTGTTAACATCAATGTAACTTGGAGGGTTATGGTTTGCTTTTTCTCTGCCTCAGGGTCCATTGTGAAACCTCCCAGCAGCACACTGGCAAGAAGCAGTAGCTTGTGTCGATCAAGACGCAATGTTGTGCCATCATCTCCGCAGTCTCAGCACGCTTTGCACTCCCCTGACCCTGACATCCTTTCTGTGTCGAGCTGCCCAGCTCTTTATCGAACTGAAGAGGAGGAGGAAGCCATTTACTTCTCTGCTGATAAACAATGGTACGGAGATTAGCAAACAGCACTCGGAACTCTGATAGGATTATTGAGACTAATAGTTTAGAATTAGAGGTTAAACCAAGCCAAAAGTTAAAGTAATCTATAGGGTAATATAAACTAATATAGTCTACGTGGAACAGAGAGTTCTTGTCTGGTATGTGTATGTAAATAGCTAGCATGTCATATACAGTTAAGTATGTTACAATCCAGGGTGCACTGAACTAACCCTGATTCTCCATTACAATATGTTACTGGCTTTTACATCTGAAACTAGGATCAAAAGCAATGTCAGCTACTGGGCGAAGAGAAGATGGATGGTAACACAATTCTTACAGCATGTTGAGCGTGTACCTACTCTTGTTACATGGCCTCATAGGAAAAGGTTAAATTCCTTTTGGAAGGAGCAAATGAGCTTGTTGAAAGGTAGGGACACTTGTCCTGAAGAAACTTTTTATATATGATAGGCTTAAATCTTCTCCTTTCATTTCATAACTTTTCTGACTTCATGTGCCAGAAAGATAGTTTTGTTCTTTGAAGTGAGATACAAATGACTGATTCTGGGCAGATGCTACTACCCACAAAAGCAAGATTGCACAGATTAATGACCTTAAGTTTAGATAATAAAATGATGTAATGCAAGTTTTAACTTAATGTTTAACTTTATGTTTTTTGTTTAATTAACTACTAAAGAAAAGTGCGGGTGGTGCTTTTAGACTAACGTTATTGATTCTAAATTAATTTCCTTTTTAACTGTATGAAGGAAATAGTTTCATTATGTTTTCTCTTCTCTTTGCTCTGACTCAGGGAAGTACAGGAAACCGGTTCGGAATGTGACTCCTTAAATTCATCCATTGGAAGGAAGCAGTCTCCTCCAGCAAGTCTTGAGATGTACCAGACAATTTCTCCTCAGAAAGTATCCCCAGAAGAATTCTCACTGGAGGAATCATCTACAGGAGACTCCTCTTCTTTAACTGCAGATATTTCTAGGGGCTCTCCTGACTGTGTAGGCATGGCAGAAACTAAGAGCATGATCTTTAGTCCTGCAAGCAAAGTTTATAATGGAATCTTGGAGAAGTCCTGCAGCATGAACCAGCTTTCAGCTGGGATCCCAGTCCCAAAGCCTCGGCACACCTCGTGTTCTTCAACTGGCAGTGATAGTAAACCCAGCCATGAAGCTGCTTCTGTCCCCAGGATAAGTAGCATCCCACAGGACCTCTGCCAAAATGGTGAAAAAAATAAAAAGCCATCAAAAATAAAAAACCTCTTTAAGAAGAAGTGTAAGTGAGATGGGCAGAAGAAAACCTATAGTAATGTTATGCGAACTCTATTTTTTACACCTTTAGGAATGTAATTCCATTTGAGCATTCCAGACTGGATGCCCTAGTGGAATGCTCAGTAGGTCACCTATATTTAACTGACTGTAACGGTCGTGCCAGCTGTCAATGAGAAATCATTAAAAAGTTCAGACAGTTTACATTAATTTCTGCCTATTTATTTCTTTTTTTTTTTTTTAATTTTAGTTTGTCTTTTTCAGTGTTCTTTTTTTTTTTTTTTTAAATTTGTTGGTTTTTTAAAGTTTATTCATAAACCATTTTTAAGCCACTTTGGACTCCTAAGCTTTAATGGACTAGTAAGCCTTCCTGGGCTTGCCAAAGTTTCTTGTTTACTGGAGCATCTTCCTATCTTTCCATAGAACTAGGACATTTGTCTACCGGACTTTAACAGAAATAAAAGAAGTAGAACTAAATGAATTGCACTACTGTTTTACAGACTGGAACAGTCTCTGCAAGTGAAACTGAAAGACTTGTATTTGACTGAGAAGATAAATCTTTTCACTTTTAGATCTTTTGGGGTTTTTAAGTAGAATTTAGCATTTCTAATTGACTTGATTTCTGGAAATGGAAATGTCATGCTTTTATTATGGGAAGCTTTGTTAGATGCATTTATTATTAGAATGGTTCAAGTCCTGCTGTAAAGATCATTTTTTTCCCAGGACTTTCACTGTGATTTTACTTCACTGCAGGCTGTATGACAAAAAAAAAAGTAATTTATCAAGAGAAAAGGCTCTTGATTCCTTATGCAAGTGATGGTTGTGAAACTTGACTGAAGACTGAAAATATTCACTCTTTAAGCGAGGAGAGGAAATAGTAGCTTTTGTTTACAGACTGAGAGACAACGGACATTTGGGTTGTGAAAGTTTGTACTGTGGTAAAGATAATAAATTGGAAACATTATTGTGCTTGGGAATGTTCCAATTTTAGCTAATGCTTGTTTCAGACATGTTTCAGAGTTCCTGTTAATTGAAAGCTGTCGTAGGCTACATTGCTTATGCTTACTGCTGTGTATAAGTTATTATTATATTTTTTCAATTAGCTATTATTGTCTTAATGTCCTCCTTTTGTAAGATTTCATACACTTTATTTTTGTATAGTTTGAAGATCTAGCTGTTCAGACATGTCTGAAGTAAATGATATAATTTTATAATGCATACTGTCATACTAACTCATAATTTCAGATATAAAGATAGATATAAAGGTGAGACTTGACATGCTTCAGATAAAAGCAGTTTTTGTTAAACTTTTATAGGGAGAGATGAAATGACTGTGAGGTAACAAGGAAGCCTTCTTAGGGTAGTAGTAATAGCTAGTTGTTCAAAAACATCTTTTTATTTTTTTTTTAAACAGTTGGAGATAAGAAATATACTGCTTAAGCAACAGTGCCTTTTATTCAGTTTGAAAATATTAATACTGAGCAGGAATTTCTTATGAGACAAATTCCAAAGAAATATTCCCTGCTCTAGTAAACACAAGCAATTTACCCAATGATGACTAAACGGTTTCAGCTCTTCCATAGGGGTGTTATAGTTGCCTCAGTAGCAGGTGCCATTGCCAGGGACCTGTGATTAGGGCCTCACTTCTTGCCAATATGTATGTGATGTACTGTACGAAAGAATTAATTCACTGAATGCCTAAATTTTTTCTAGCACAGAGTCTTCAAAACTTGTAGCTAGTTGAAATCAAGTTATATGTGTATTTTCTATCATTCTCTACTTAGGTTCCACTGTACATAACTAATGTGTTAGTTCTGTCCTTGAAGTGGTGGTGATTTTAACAGAAGGCATTTACTGTGGCTAGTGAAATGGTTAGAAGAGGATGGTTATAAAATGGGTTGGAAACCTTACATGTGCAAGTACCTTAAAAATCCTGGTACATTGATTAATTCCTTAAGACAACACAATGAATCCAGAATTGTACTGTCTAACAAAGAATGATTGTATGCCATCTATACAGAAAAGCATTGGAGGAATCCTATCCTTTGCAGAGTTTGGAGAAGAAAAAATTGGGGTGACTAGAAAATAATGACAGCATAATATTGTTCCATTATTCTCTGAATCATCAGATTGAACAACTGTAGCTTCAAAAAAAAGTCATCACAAGGTAACAATGGTCCCTTTAAACAAAGATCGTACACGCTCTACATGGCAGAGAAAAAAAAGAAGCGATGCAAAAAGACTTGTGCTAGAGAACCACCTCAATGCTAAGCCTTCAGAGATGTAGTTAAAAGCCTGATGAAGTACTTGAACATCTACAAAGGGAAAAATTACTTTTATAAAAGTAGGGAACTTATTGTGCCTCCCCGACAGCATGGAGAAGGGTACTACCAGAAAAGTGTTGATGCAATTGAGAAGTCTATAGCAATAATTGAGTTTAAAGTAACATCTGGGACTGAGCAGTAGATCTTGGTGTAAGGTTTGAGGAACTCTGTCTCTATCATTGTCAAAAAGATGAAGTGGCATTTTGATATTGGAGAGAAGATATTTACACATGAAAAAAAATCTGGTACCAAGGAGTGGGAGGTCAGCTCTTCTTAATCCTGGTATCAAAGTCAGGCAAACTCAAATACTGAGAAGCCAAAACAGGCAAATTCAGTTTTCTGTAGTAAGTATAATTAAAAACTTAAGTGGAGGACATGTTGAACTCATCACTGACTGTGAGTTTAAGTGTTAAGTATCTTTTTAAAATAAACAATTTAACTATCTTCAAGAAAAAATATGGTGTTGTACAAACAAATCAGATGAGAATATCATAGGGATATATTTTGGCTTCAAAATAGCAAACCTTTAGAGAACAGACTGCTCTCAACACTCAGTTTATTACCAGCTGTCCTCTTAACTTTATAGCTGCTTCTTAATAAATATTAGATATCTAAAAGCTTAAATTAATACAGTCAGAAGTGATGAGTATTGTATGTTGGAGCACAAACTAATTTTAAGTTAATTGAGTTAGGTTTATTTTTTAATTACTTTAATAGACCGCTTTCATTTCTTGCTGCCTGAATTTGTCTGCAATGTAAGTGGCTTCCATTGCTCCTACTGCGGCTAATGCAGAAATTCCTGTCTTGAACCAGTTAGTGTCCTTTTAGTGAGGGGGTGTTGAGAGCACTGACACTAAGATATATCCTCATTGGCAAACGTCAAATCCAATCCTGATGCTGAGGTACCTGGCATGGATCAACACATCAGAAGTGAGACAATGTGCTTTGAAGGTCCTCTGTTCTGGCTCCATTTGCTTACCAGTGTAACTTGAACTCGCTGACAGTCAGTGGGATTTCATAAGACACATCAGTCATCTTAGACAATCATCTAGTGTCATTAGAGATTTTTTTGTTTGTTTTGGTTTTTTTTGTTCTGTTTAGCTTTTATAGCTAAAATCCATGTTTTATTTTAAACTCTCCAGTATTTCGAAAGGTGAGGATCTTTGCTTTCTTCAATATTTTGTTAGAGTATTTTGTCAAGACAGCAGCTCCTTTGTGGAAATTGCCTAAACCTCTTCTCCCTGAAGAGGTTACCGTTTAAGTCTTTTACCTGTAAAATGAAGAAGTGTCAAGTGTGTGATTCTATACAAAGAAGAAGAAAAATCTTTCCACAGTTCTTACTAAAAGTATATGACAATTTTTTACTAAAAGTGTAAAGATTTTAGGAAAGGCATTTCTACTTGCCATGGGAAATACTTTTGACCAGTTTACAGCAGACTTAAAGATTAAAGCAGTTGATTTTTTTTTTTTAATTTTATTTTTTTTTTCACTGCTTGGTGAATGAATTTAAAATAGATCATTGACAGTTCCAGGCCTATGTCAACTTTTCTTTCCTCACTGGTACCTATGTAGCAGATTACCCTCTACTTCCTGATGGACAATTTGCTGAAAGAGGGAAGATTCTCCATCATAGTCTAGGTAGTATTGTTGTAGTAAGAATACAGTTCCTCCTTTGGAAGCCTTGAAGATGGTGAAGCCAAGAATACGTGACTTCAGTTTTGTTATGATATTTATGGATGCCAACTGGAGTTAGGCATTAATTTATGACTGATTGTCTAAAAAGATAAAATTAATTAGAAAACTTTCAAGATTTTACCCTTTTGCTTCCCAATACATAGGAATATGGCATGCTCAGGAGGGAAATAAGCTAATTAGCATTTCTCATACTACCAACTTTAAGAGCTTCAGGATAATTTTATTCCATTTCCAAGATACATTGTTGGAGAGGGATTACTACCTTACATAATGTATACAAAGAAATATTTGTTTTTCATTTACTTAAAAGTATATTTACAAGCAGTGGAGAATGTAATAAAATACATTTTTTTTTAAATCAAATAGAGGAATTACCAGTTCTTGGACCTCTTGTCTATTTGCTTATCTCCTTGTACAATATGTTAAGTAGGGTGAACAAACTTTTCTAATCTGTTCCAGTTGCTCTCCCTTAAGGGGTGTGTGGGTGCCTTACTATCATGTTTGAAACACTGCTCTGAAGTGCTCGTAGGCATTTTGATCCTGGATGTTGCATCTTCATTGATTAATAGTTAAGCCCACCATGGCTGTTTCATTCTAACTGCTGCTAAAATTTTCTACCAGTGGCAGAGATGTTGGGATAACTAGTAACCAAAAAAGGCTTTTACCTGTAGAGTTGGACTGCCTGACTGTGTAAATGTTTAGGTAACCATTCTTTAAGGCTTCAGTAGCTGTTCAGAGGTGTCATACATATGTTTCATTTCCAGACCAGTAAAGATGGTGTTTATCTGACACTCCACTTCTCTGTTGCATGAACAGAAGGCACCAATGGTAACAATGGTAACAATATTAACCTTTAAACTGTTATTCCTGGGTGCTCTTGCAACTGACATTGCTTAAACAAGATGGCAGTACTCACAAGTCCACTTCAGGCCCTCAGAAACACAGTAGATTTCTGTTACCTTTTGATTTTTCTCTGCAGCTTTGAATCTCAAGTTTACCAAATTGTGTGTGTGTGTGTTCTGTGTATTTAATGTTCCACTGAAATGAAAGTGGGAAGGTTGTTCTCAATTTAGATGTTAGGGAAAGCACATTCGAGGAAGGTAAAAAGAAATTCCTCTTGCTCATTGCAGAGAATGAAAAACAGTTCAGAGGTGTTTCATCTGCTCCTAAGTCAGAAGACTAGGGAACACTCACAACTTAGATTGCTGGAGGTAAAAGGTACACTCAATCTCAACCTTTCCGATCAGTGACTCTTTATCCAAGAAAAAACCCCCACTTTCTTCTTTAGGTGTACTCTTCAGGGCATTATCTTTGTATTTCTAATTTCTATTCTATATTTGACCTAGCATTAAGTTTGGTAGTCACAGCACTAACTTAGGTGATTGCCAGACCTCAGAGCAGTTTCAGATAAATTTCTGTAGCGTGTCTTAATTTTGTTTTAATATGTGCTAAAGACATCTAAATTAGAACTTTTCCCTTCACATTCCTTTTACTTTAATTCAACTCAGTTCTTTGTGGTCTCTCTACTGTTAAAAAAATAAACTGGTACTGATAGTTGTTTATAGTTTAGAGTACTATAATTTTTTTTTCAGTTGGGAATTACTAGTAGATAAATGGTAAATAGTTGCCCTTTAAAGACTAGGTCATGGTTGGATATTATAAAAACACTGCTGTACGTTAGTTGAACTAGGTAGAGCATTGACTGGTGCAATTTGTGAATGAATGGTAAATTTATCTTTCTTAAATAATCCTTTGATTGTTTATATGTGTCTAAAGTTAATGCTGCACAATTATTTTCAGACTTGAATTCATTTAAGATTAAGGTCTGTATTTCCAACCCTACAAAAGTCAGTCTTCAGTTGTCAGCCATCACTCCATTCTTACAAAAATTACTTACAATTTTGAATATTTGTACTAGCATATTGGGTGGTAGAATGGATTCCTGTAAGTCTTTGGGTGGAAGGCAGAGAACTTCTGAAGTGAACCAGGTAACCTGTGTTCTTTATCACCTTTCAAATCCATCTCCCAGTAAGATGGAGTCTCCCCAGGGGAATGTAGATGTACTTACTGCTTGGAACTTTGTAG